GAGTGCGGACCCCGCGCGCGCCCGCCGAGGTTCAGGCCGCCTCAACATCGGCAGGCAGCAGATAGGAGCCGCCGAGGGTCAAACTTCCTGCGGGCTGGGGAGCTGCCGGCGCCCCCTAGTGCCGCGCCGCGGGGCAGCCATTACCGGGGCTCAGGGAGGGCCGCTCGGTTCCTTCTCTTCCGCGGTGGTCAGGGGCCCTCTCTGGCCCTCCGGCTTGCTTACGGCCTGTCTCTGCCTCATCCCTGCCTCGGAGCGTGGCACTGCGAGGCCCGGAGGTGCCCCGGCCGGTCCGCGTCCCCGTGTGCTCCCGTGGAGGGACTGGGGCAGCCAGGGTATCACACTGGGTACTCATGGGGCAAAGGCACGAAGAGGGACACAAGCCTGGCCATGCTTGGGTGAAGGAGCTCAGATTTGTTCCTGGTGGCCTCCTCCCTCACACCACACACGACTTTTGGTCTGGCTTTCGGAAGCAACAAGTGCTTTTTTCACACATTCATGATTAACACAACTTCTGTGTCCCTGTGGGCCATCCTCCCTGGGGACCAGGCAGTTCTAGGCCTGTGGGGTATCCAGGTACCACTGCACTGCACATGAAGGGGTGGAATCTGCGCAACTGCAACAGTCTGGGAAAAGCTGCCTGCAGCTCATCACCAATTGCATCTCCCAGCATGAGGAAAGCAGCTTTTTGCTACACAGTCTTGGCTTGAATAAGGCTCCTCATTGAAAAGTGAGAGGTTTGGGGATGGCTTGGGTCTGGGCACTATGCCAGGCACATGGGGCTTTGCGTAGGAGTGATTTGGGGCTCACAAAAGCAGCAAAACAGAGTGGGACATGGCATCACAGCCTTTGTTTCTCCCCTCCTGGAGGTTGCTTGGGAGGCCTGAGCCTGGTTTCCATTCAGGCTTGACAAACACCTAAGCATAGCTGGGCAGGCACAGCCCTCTGCAAAACTGTTGTTTAGATTTGCATGCTAATAAAGTATTGAAGAAGAGAGAAGGATAAAGAAAGAAGGCAAGACAACATACCAACATGAAGTAAAAAGGCAAGACAACATACCAACATGAAGTAAAAATTATAGTATCTGTAACTGTTTCAACATTGATGAAGATGTTGTAGAATTAAACTTTTAAGATTTCCACAGAAATATTCAAGGAGTTAAGTGTATCTAACTTGGCTAAGCAATGCTAAACAGGGGACATGACAGACACAAGGATTTGAAAAGACAGAGGAGGACAGGGACTATCAAAGGCAGTAGTAGTGCCACTTGATCTCTCTTCTTGGACTGCTTTTGCATCTTTGTTAAGATTTCTGTTAAGAGTTTAGTTAAGACACTGCTAAGATTTTAGCTCCCGTTGTACTCAGGACAGTTCCCTGTCTGATGTGATTCTGGAGGAGGCTCACTTCATACTTAGTGCATTGTGTTCAGAAGGAAGGACCATTACAGTGGAAACAGATTAGCAGGCACGCCTGCTCTAGCAGTGTTTTGACAATGTACTTCTTTTGAGAGACTGCAGCACCTTTCTTGAAGTGTATAGACAAGATTGTATTCCAAGAGAGGCATTAATCTTAAATACATTTTTGCACGAGTTAAACTCCAGAATAAATAATGTCAAGCATGTGCCGTATGTTCTCTTCCATTGTGCAGCTCAACCATTCCATCAGCTTTCTTTGCCTCTCCACATCCCCCCTCACCCCCAACCAAGATGAGTGTCCTTGCCAGAGCTCAAGTTACACATTTCAGCAGAAATTCAGAGTCACATTATTGGTTTGAAGTTCATGCTTAACAAATGGTGTCTCTTCTCCTTTAGTGTTTGTAGTGGACATCGGTAGAAATCAACACGTATCCCTGTGGGGAGAAGAACAGTCACTGAAGTGCTATGAATTACAAAATTAAGGTGGTTTTTTGTTTGTTTGCTTGTTTTTCTAATTTCAACTCTATCCTGGTGTCAAAGGCCAGAAAAATCTGAGAACAGCTGAGTCTTGGAAGTAACAAGTTTTACTAAACTCTGTCCTCTGAACTTTGTAACAGAGCCTCATCTTTCCCTGACTGCTGTCCCTTTGCACCATGCTGACAACAGAAGGGACATTGAAAGATCATAAGCCTACACAGAGAATTTCATCTGAGGTTTGGGGCAACTAGGCAATCATCACAAGGTGGGATTATTTTTTCACCTGATTTAAGCCACTTAAGAATTAGCCATCTAATCTAAATTTATCCTTGAGGCTTCCTCCATTGTCAGCACATATAGAGCAATGAAACTGCAGAGGGCAGCCCATCACACTAATATGGTTATCTATGAAAAGCAGGAATTCTTCCTATTGACCATGGCCAATAGACTGGGCTGGAAGTGGGGACTTTAAGACTAGCTTTTAAATAGGAATCCCATTCATGTTGCTAGTGTATAGCAATTCTCCTGTGTCCTCTGTCATTCCTATTTACTGATGAGGAGGCCGATTAGAGGAAGTGGGATAGGGAATGGGCCCCACAGAACCACAAAACCCTTTGTTCCGTTAGCCTGTAAGGTTGTTGGCAATTAGTGCCACTGAAAGCAGTCTCCAAGCAATTTTGTCTTGTAGGGACTGCATAGCTGCCTGCTGCCAGGCATGTGGGATTCAAAGAAAGATTAAAAACAACCTTGGCATTTCCTTTCCCAAGCTGTGCTTTGTACTTAACCACAGAGAAGGATTCAAGACTGTCTGCGAAGCTGAAAATAGCTGAGAAGTTGGTATACAAATGGGGAATGTGACAGGCTTACCCATTTTCTGAGACTTCATTTGTTGGCAATGCCCTTATACCAATTGCTTGTCTAGCAACATTCTGCATGTTCAAACTAAGGGCTAGAGTGTGTTGTGAGAGGCACAGAATATGATGTAATTTGGAGAAGAATAACCAGAAGGCAAAGAATGTTTTCTGAGAGCTCACTAACTACTTTGGGCTAATAGCTTCAGTCATTATCACCAATTATTAACAAAATCCAGTCATCCTAGGTACACAAAATTGAATTCCCCTCCCTCTCATATTTTAA